TTATTTCTCCATCGTATTTGAAGGATATTTTCGCTGGGTAGAGAATTCTCGGCTGTAGGTTTTTGTCCTTCAGATTTTTGAATATATCATTCCACTCTCTTCTAGCCTGTAAAGTTTCTGCTGAGAAATCTGCTGATAGCCTGATGGGGGTTCCTTTGTAGGTTAGTTTCTTTTGCCTGGCTGTCCTTAATATTTTCTCCTTGTCGTTGACTTTTGCTAGCTTCACTACTATATGCCGTGGAGTTGGTCTTCTTGCATTGATAAAGTTTGGAGATCTATTGGCTTCTGTCACCTGAAGATCCATCTCCCTCACCAGATTTGGGAAGTTCTCAGCCATTATTTCTTTGAATAGGTTTTCTGCCCCTTTCTCCTTCTCTTCTCCCTCTGGTATACCTATAATCCTTACGTTGCATCTCCTAATTGTGTCTGATAATTCTCGGAGAGTTTCTTCATTTCTTTTAAGTCTTGCTTCTCTCTCCTCCTCTGCCTGCAACAATTCTATATTGCCATCTTCCAAATTGCTAATTCTTTCCTCCATATTATCGGCCCTACTGTTCAGAGCATCTAGATTTTTCTTAATCTCCTCTATTGTGTTCTTCATTTCCAGTATTTCTGTTTGGTTCTTCTTTATCGTATCAAACTCTTTTGTGACATAGCTCCTGAACTCGTTGAGTTGTCGGTCAGAATTCTCTCTTAACTCAGTGAGTATTTTAATGATGGCTGTTTTGAAGTCATCATCATTTAGGTTATATATCTCATTTTCTTTGGGATTGTTTTCTGTGTATTTGTTACTTTCTTTCTGTTCTGGAGATTTAATGTATTTTTTCATATTGCTTGATGATGTTGATTTGTGCCTCCGCATGTAGATAGAGTTTAGTTGCTCCTTTCACTTGTTTCAGCTGCTGCGGTGGGGGGAGCAGCTGTTTATACTTCACCAACCAGGAACCCTGTCCGTAGTTGCTAACTGGGCCTGGGCCCCTCTTCGTAGCCACAGTGGCCCTTTGGATTCCCTCCTCTGCCGTGGGGGCCGTCACGGGGGGCTTCAGGCTGCAGGTGCCTACTGTTGTTGCCCACCTAGATGCGCTCTCTCCTTGGGGTCTGCAACGGTGTTATGGGCTTTTCCAGTGGCCAGGGGTGGGATCACTTTTATTTGTCGCTCGGTTGCTGTCGGCACCCACCAAATCTCACTTGTCCTCTATGGGTCGCAGGAGAGCTATTGGCATCTTCTACAGTCTGTGGTTAGTACACCTAGCTATGCTGCTTTTGCCCTGGGGTCTTCCAGCCTTGTGGCTGGCGGCTGGGTGCCTTCTACTGGTGCTGTGCAGAGGCTTTCCCTAAGGCTTCTGTGAGCCTGTAGGGTTTCCCCCTGGGCTACTAAGCTGGGTCTCTGGAACTCTCTCCAGCCCCAGTCCTCTCCGAGATCTCCGGCAATCCCTAGCCTCACCGGGTGGGCAACGGCAGCTGGGAGTCGCCCCGCCCTCTGTGCTTCTCTCCGGGCCTCTGCCGGGAGCTCTGAATGCTCAGCGTGGCCCCTCTGCTACCGGCAGACAGAGAGTTTTGTCTGCTGCCTGGCGGAGCTCCGGCACTTCCCCTCCGGGTCGCCGGACCTGCCTTTGAAAGTTCCCCCGCCCCGGTCCTCTCCGAGATCTCCAGCAATCCCTAGTCCCACGGGGCGGGCAACGGCAGCTGGGGGACGCCCCGCCCTCTGGGCTTCTGTCCGAGCCTCTGCCGGGAGCCCTGAATGCTGGGCGTGGCCCCTCTGCTACCGGCAGACAGAGAGTTTTGTCTGCTGCCTGGCGGAGCTCCGGCGCTTCCCCTCCGGGTCGCCGGACCCGCCTTTGAAAGTTCCCCCGCCCCGGTCCTCTCCGAGATCTCCGGCAATCCCTAGTCCCACGGGGCGGGCAACGGCAGCTGGGAGACCTCCGTGCCCTCCGTGTCTCTCTCTGGGACCCTCCGGGCGCCCCGAGCACCAGGCCGGGTCTCCCCGCCAATGGCGGGGAGAGACTCTCCCCGCAGGCTCAGGTGTGCAACTCCAAAGTTTCCCTCTGCGTTTAGGAGTAATTGCGGGGGTTTTAAGTAGGGTTCTGGTCACCTGTTTCCACCGTCGCTCCTCTGTTGTGTTCTCGCTCCTGCCCTAGATGTGTGTGGATCCTCTGGGGGCGTCCGTTGGAAGAAAGCCGCTTGCAGGTACTAGGCTGCCCGTCGGGGTCGGAGAGTTTTCACCTATTTCCACATCCTCCCGGAGGAAAGTCCGTCCGCCTTCCGATGTATAGTCGCGTGGGTGTCTCAGACGTCCTGAGATGCTGTCTGGATATCCTTTGTCAAGCGATAAGTGTCCAAATAATTGTAGACTCGAAGGGCGAGAGACAAAGAGGACTACTCACGGCGCCATCTTGGAATTCCTCCTACACATAATATTTTTTAACGTGCATTTTCAATCTATACATTCTGTTGATGTTTCCACATCATTAAAAATTATTTTATCATATCATTTTTAAGGACTGGAAAACAATTTGATATGTAGATGGACTATAATTTATTTAACGAATCTATTCTTCCCGATCTTTTTAGAAAATAGGCAACATTCATGTAACTAAAGTTTTTCATACATCTATAGTCATATCATTAGGTTATATTCCTAAAACTTTAATTGTTATGTTAAAGAGAATACAAAATTTACAGAAAGGTGTGTTGCATGTTACATGACTACACACTTTATATACAGAGTACCCATGTCCCTAAACCCTTAACAACAAACTGTATTATTATTATTGTTATTGTTATTTCTTTGGAAATATAATAGGAAAATGGTATCCTATTGTTTTAATATGCAATTCTTTGGTGATCACTGAGGTTGAATATTATTTTATACATGTCTCATTGTCTAAATGGAGTGACGTTGAAAGGAAATTTTCTAAAGGTCTGTAAGTAGCCCTGCACAAAGGACATGAATTTCATCAGCTTGAATGTGCCCAAATCTCTCACTCTTGCTGTACATTGTAGGGGATCCGAATTGTGTCTCCCATCCCAAAATATGTTTCTTTAGTTTGATTATTTTTAAGAACAAAAGACTCTGAAAATACTTTCAGCTATCCCCTAATTGCTTAAAAGAATTTAAGATAGAAGGCGTGTCCTTAAGCCAGACCATCACACAGATAACTCTGGATATGGTAGACTGGGAGGATCCTTGCTAAGCCCATTCTTATCAAAGTTCTCTCTCTCAGGTTGCATTGTCTATAGATGGCCCAGAAACATTAGTTTATCAAACATTTGCTTTTCCTTCTCCATGTAAATTGTCTTTCTCCCCTTTGAAGTCCCAAACTACTACCCCCCACATCCTCCTTTGTCTCTAGCTGACATGGTATTTAAAGATGGTATGTAAACCATCTTGGTGAGTTACTCAGTTTCCTGAGTTTCTCCCATGTGTACATGTTATTAAACTATGTTTGATTTTCTCCTGTTATTCTATCTCTTGTCAATCTAATTCTTAGACCAGAAGGACCTAGAGGGTAGAGGAACAGTTCTTCCTCCCATACAACATAAATGACGTTAAAATTATAGAAATATAATGTTTAGTCCGTTCAGAGAAGGGGACAGTTCAGTCACAAACTATGATCAAATTTCCTTTTAAAATAAAGAATATGAATAATTGATTTAGTGAAAGATTGTGGCTGTCACAAGTACATAGATGCAAATGGTTTAGAAGAGTTCATTTTCTCTGCAAGATATAATGTGAAATATAAATCTTATTGAAACTACATGTTCCCTTTGATGAAGCATTAAATTTTGAGTATATTTAATCTTTTTAGTTTGTGCATTTACCTTCCTTTAAAAAAGTAATTAATTCAAAATGTGGCTTGAATTGAAAATATTTTTATCCCTCTCTGATTTTCAAATGCATATTAAATGATCATTTATGTGATGGATGAGATGTTCCTTGAAACAGATCCGTTAAATCAAAAGATTTAAAATGTTATTGGCAGGAAATTGGACGTATTAAGATTGAGTTATGCATTGCTGTGTAACAAATTACCTCAACCTCTAGCAGCTTAAAACAACAAACATTTGTTATCTCCCAGATTTCTAAGGATCGGGAAGCCAGAAGTAGCTTAAGTGGGTGGTCTCTCTCAGGGTCTCTCATGAGGGTGCAGTAAGCTGTTGGCCAGAGCTGCAGTCTCTAAAGACTTGACTGGTGCTGAAGGATTTCCTTCTAAGCTCATTTGCGTGGCAATTGGCAGACCTTAGTTCCACACCAAATGAGTTTGTCAGTAGGGCTGCTGAGGATAGACAGTACTTCCCCCAGAGTGAGAGATTCCAGAGATAGAATGGGGAGGGAAAGGCAGGAGGGAAGAAAAAAGGAAGAGAGGGAGGGGAGGAATAGTTATTTAGAGTAAATAGTATCACTTTAAGTAAACATTTACCATACACTATTCATCATAGCTTGAAATAAATGATGTCTGCTTTTAGTATACCAGAATGTATCAATTTCAACTGTCAATAGGCTTGTTTTAGCACTCTGAATTACATAATCTTTAAATGGCTAAACTTAAATGTAGTTTAAAAGAATTTCCTAATTCTTGATTTTTTCAAAAAATGTCTCTCGTCTTCAGTGTTTTCTTGAAGATTTAAATCAAACTCCTCTGTTTATTTTAAATGAAATATAGAAACTTAAGTATGTTATTGTTTTAAAGAAATGTCTAATCATTTTCTTTTGTATGAATCCTCTTTTCTGCAAGTACTTAGCTTTAATAATCAAATTCTTTATCCCTCTGTATTTTTATTTTTGTAAAGTTTCAGCATGGCTTCTTCTCCCTCAGAAGTTTAAAATGGGAATTATTTCAATAGTAGCTCCATATCACTTGGGACCTAAGTAGGATGGATGTCATATCATGAGCACAAAGGATTGTGTAATGACTTTCATATATCCTATTTCGTTGTAGAATTTCATTTTCTTGAAACAACAGAGACATAACTGATTATATAACTTCATCTTATTCCAGGTCCCCTAAAAACCCAGAACAGAAGATCATTAAGAGAGTGATTGCTCTTGAAGGAGATATTGTAAAGTAAGTACTTAAACTGTTGTTTTTGAGTTTAAGTTATAAATATCTAGATTTTGTTGAGTCTTAAATCACATTACATGGGAAGTACATCTCAATTCAAAGAGGACTAAAGCTTTAGAGACATTCCAAATGAACTGGTACATCTTTAGTATCATCAACCATTTCAGGATGTAAGGCATACATAGATTTACTGATCATATTGTTAGCCTTTAACTGAGAGCCACGGAAGAAATAAATATTAATTAAATTGAAATTAATCACATTTTCTAAAATGACCATTAGATCATTGTCTTCCAGATATTAAAATTAGCATGATTATTTTAGATTATGATGTCAGTGTTCATTTTAGAAAAATTCAAGGACATTTTATTATTTTAGAAGCAAATGCAGACACTAAGGGGGAGATTTTATAGTAGTAGAGATGGGGGAAAACAGGAAAGGATGTGAAACCGCAGCTTCTGAATCAGAGACAAAAATAGTAGCTTTAGAAAATAACATTGTAACAATTAGGTGTGTTAACAATGTGTAGTAATGTCTTATTTATTCTACTTGCTGATAAATCTAGAACAATGTTTGAGATTCAACAAGTAAGGGTTGATATAATATGATATATCTCATTTGATTGCTTACTTTCAATAAGTTAGAGCCAAGTCTATACAATGTGAGAGTCAAAATGCTTCAGAAAGTTTTCTGATCCTGATTTCCCAAAAGGCTTGATCCTAAAGTATCTGTATTAATGACAGTAGAGATTAAGCAACCTCATTAAGATGAACCTCAGTTGATTTTAGAACAGAACCTAGTCTAGCAGTGCTCAAAGGATGGCCCAAGGAGATCGCTGGGAGTTCCCAAGACCGTTTGTGGGGTTCTTTGAGATCAAAACTTTCCATGTGCTTATTTGCCATTCATACATCTTCTTGGGTAAAGTGTCTGTTCGTTTGGTGCATTTGCTTGTTTTATGTTCAAATGTTTATATTTTGAGTTATAACAGGTTCTTTGATTTTGATTCTTTAAATAGAATGAGGATTTTGGGGAGAATGAATGTGTGTGTATAATAATATGATTTTAGTTAAGTCTACGTGTATTAATATGAAAGCTTAGTTTTCATTTCCTGTAGGATATGCAGTGTAAATTTTCAGAACCTGATGACTTTGTTTTTTTTTTTTTTTTCAAGAGCCTGTCTAGCTTCTGATTTCAGTAGGAGATTGGGAAGAGCAATAAATTTGGAAAACCATTTGCTGTCCATCGATGAATATGCAAAATGTGCTTTTAATATTTGGAAAACAGTTTGTGTGGATATGATGCAAATCCCATTCAAAGAATGAATCAGCAAACTTGAAAGCATTATATTAAATGAAAGAAGCCAGTCACAAAAGACAGCATATCATATGATTATATTTATATGAAATGTCCAGAATTAGGCAAATTCAAAAAGACAGAAAATAGATAATTGTTTCCAGGGGCATAGAGGAGGGGAGATGGGAGATTCTGTTAATAGGTACAATGGGTACGGTGCGTTTTTTTAGGGGATGTGAAAACATTCCAAAATAGATTGTGGTGATAGTTGCACAACTCTGTGAATATGTGGTCATGCATGGGTTAACCACAGGGATACGTTCTGAGAAATGCGTCATTAGGTGATTTCGTGGTTGTGTGAACATCGTAGAGTGTACTTCACAAGCCTCGATGGTATAGTCTACTACACACCAGGCTGTATGGTGTGAATCTTATGGGACCAGTGTCTAAGGAATGTCTTATGGGCATCACTGTTGTTTACTGAAACGTTGTTATGTGGCACATGACTGTACTAAAAATAATGAGTTGTATGATTTAAATGAGTAAATTATATGTTATATGAATTACATCTCAATAAAGCTATTTAAGAAAACAAAAGAATCAGTCAACAAAGCTGGCAAAAATTTCATCTTATAGGATTAAGAATGCCAAGGGATCCATGTTACATTATAATCCAAAGAGAACACAGCTTTAATCCAGACATATCATTATTGGTCACTAGCTGAACAGTCAACAATGTGACGTTGCAAAGCTTAGTCAGACATAAAAAACTGTGCCATCGGAAATCCTACAACAAGATTTCTCTGAGAAAAAGGCTGGGTTGTTTCTTTCTTCAGTAAACGTAAATGTTAGGTTCACAGAGCAGAGGCTTAGCTAGAATGAGGGTTATTGGTCCAGGGTTGGGAGTGAGGGAAAAGCAGATGGAGACATAGTAATTTACACCTTCTTTGCTGTGACCCACATGTGTAAAGTCTAGCTTCTTTGTTCTAATCCTGCAAATTGAGACTTTGGACATATGTCCCTCTGTATCCCCCTTCACTACAGCTCTATCATGGAGCAATGAATAACATAAAGAATGGAAGTAGCAAGACTTTCCTATTATATGGCTTCTAAAAACTATTTGATAATTGATTAGGAAAAAAAAAACTTTTTTGCACTTGGTGTTTTAAAGAAAACTAAAAATGTCATTCCTCTGAAACTTTGGTTCCTAAAGATCCTAGCCTTCCTGGGCTTTAAATTAATAATTGAATATATTCCTATAATAATTTTCTAAAAGTATTAAAAACATTAAGTGACATTTAAGGGATAAAATATTATTTACTGATGTGCTTATTTCTTTTCTCTGTGACCCATTTTTAAAAAATGCCAGAATATATAAAAAACAGTTGTAAAAATATATTGTCTGTCTACCACTGGAAGTATATTGGTGACCTAACTTGTAGTAGGCTAGGTGCTTTTGTCTGTGAAGTGGACTTTCCAGTCCCACCTTTACCTTCGGTAATAATGGATTACCTCGTAGGCAAGCTAAGTACAAATGTAGGTCACTAGAAATTTTAGAGGGGGAAAAATTTGATATTTTATTAAATGATCAAAGAAAAAAATCTCATGTATCAGGACTTGCTTACACTTACTGTAGGTTTCATAGTATTTTTATTTTGAATTACACGTAATTAGAGAATAGAGAGGGAACTATAATCTTTTCAGAGTTTAGGCCTTTTAAAAGCTTAATCCAATCCTCAGTTTAATGTTCTGTTAAACTCTTCCAGGTTGTGAATAACAGATACATAGTAAAACAAAGTTTAAAGAGCGCTTAACTTTAAAGATACCTGAGGAAGGAAGGGTGGTAGGAGCCTAGGGTCAGCCTCGCCTCACTGATGAACAGGAATGGCTGGACAGCAGGACTTCCGGGTCTGCTCACTTGTGCCCTCTGCTGGCACGTGGCTTTTGCCTGTCTTGTCTGTGTTTAAGTTGGCTTTTGCCCCATTGCCAACTTCTGCTTCCTTGGGTATGCCTCATGTTTAGACTACCTGTGATAAATCTTAGTGTGCCCCTTTGAGGTAGAGATCTAGAATCTGTCCTCCTGACAGGCTGCTGGTCAACCAGTTGTTCAGTGGCCTTTGGAGTAGGTGTCCTTCCTAGGTCCAGTCAGTTGTGGCTAGGTAGGGACTTGTGGGTATGGTAGACACTGTGAGACCTCCCAGGTTAAGCAAGGTGATTAGCAGTCCCGTTGCTCAGCATTACCCTTCGATATCTCACATTCAATAAAATTATGATCTGCTTTCCTCAGTAGATGCTTTGACATTGCTTTCTGGGGAATGTAAACTTTTTTTTAGCTTTTTTTTAAATTACAGAAATAACACAAGCTTGAAAAATTCAAAATGCTATAATGAATATCCTTGCACACATACCATTATACACTTTTGTGTTTATTCTTGTAGAATAGATAGCTAGAAGTGGGAATATTGGGTCAATGTACGTTGTTATGATCATTATTTTTAGTTTTAATATACAGCCAAATTCCTCTCCCAAGGGGTTTGTGTATATTTACACTCTTAGCAACACTGCATGAAATATGCTTTTCAGAGGAAATTAATTTAGAGCTCATGTACAATGGGGAAGTTGTGGACTTCTGATTCAGAAGTCAAAGCATTTTGACACATATTTTGAACTTAGTTTTAGATCATCAGGTTATATTTAATTTAATCAATTTATTGATACTGTAGGCCTTAGAAACATTCATTTAATGAGCATTGGTCAACACTAAAGAGACATAATTGAACAAAAGAGATAAAATTCCTCCCCTCGTGGAGCTTACATTTAGTGGTTAGAGCAGATAATTAACAGTTATGTAACATATAATGCCATGTTATGAATCAGAAGTGCTATGAATATAAATAAAGTAGCAAAGGATGTATAGAGTGACGGTGGGGTCTGTGACTGCTATTTTAGGTGGAATATTCACTGTAAACCTCTCTAACGGGAAGATACTTGAGCAGACTCCTAAGTTAAGGGAGGGAGGAAGAGAGCCATACTAGTATCTGGGAGGAGGGCAATTTAGACCAAAGGAATAACAAATGCAAACCTGAGATGGATACGTTATTAAGTGAGTTTAAGGAATTGCAGGAGGACAGCTTGTTGGACCTTACTGAAGGAGAAAAACTGAGGTAGGAGGTTAGGTCTGAGAGGTTTGCAGAGCCTTTTGGGTCATAGTAAGGACTTTGTATTTTATTTCAGTGGGATGGCAAGCCAATGAATGGAGGGTTTTCAGCCATGCAGTGGCATGATCTGATTGGCATTTTTAAAGGATTAGTCTCTCTGCTGTGTGGAGAACAGACTAAAGGGAGGCAGTCTGACCCAAGTAAATGGTCAAAGTCTTTTTCGCTTGAGAAAATCATATCTAGCTTTGTCTAAATGTAAAGTGTCCTTGTTTATGACATGAATGTCAACTACTTTGATTATTTTTAGAGTGACTCATAAAAGTAGCCACATTATTTGTAATCACAGTCGTTATGATTATATTGACAAGATGAAAAGTAGAGTTGAAGTATTTGTTCAGAGAATTCAGTCAGATATTCCTAAGATTGTAAAACAGGAGACGTTTGGGAGTCTGAATTTTCTATCTTGATCTCAACATTGATTAAAATCATGAGGTAATTGCCTGATTATCTAGATGGCTTAGCTAGGAATGTAGTCATTTTCATAGTGTTAACCCAAATGGGTATGCTTATCTATAACATGAACAGTAAAAAGCTACTGAAAGTAATATTTAGACAGATCCATTAGTTCCGCCAAAATATTTTTCATAGTTATTTGCTTTTTCTTATTAATTTGTTGTAACTCACATAGAAGCACTGTTTCAGAAAAGCATGAAAATGAAAAGTGAATATGAATCAACCACAATTGTACTTTCTAAGGCATCAATATTTTCTACTGCGACACTTATATTTCTGTTTCACAGATCTTCTTGGCCCGCTCAGAAATGAAGGCAGGTATTTCACCTCTTACTTGGTGAAATACACTTACAAACATTTGGAATCTGAGGGTCCACGTAGTTAGCACCCTCCAAGAAGTAAGTGAATAGAGTCTTTGTAGTCCCCGTTGAAGAGGGTAACCATATAACTTGTCTCCTAAACTAGGCCACTTTTGACAGTGAAAGGGGATGTTACTAATTATTACATTGGAGCAATCAACTTAAACTGGATGGCCAAGACAAACTGCAACAGATGGTCACCCTACCGGGGAAATGTACTCTACTTTATATTCACTTCACTTAATTTGATTCTGTTTAGTCTGTGGCCCTCAGTGTTCCAGAGAATTCGAAGTAGTGTTCATAGAAAACAGAATCATTTCCTGGCCCCAGGGAGGAATTAGGTCAGGCAGGATCAATGGTTTTGTGGAGAGGCATGTCCTGCTCATAGGATAGTCATTTCCGTGCTAGGAAGTACAGTGCAAGACTTTCTCTAACAAGTATTGATATTGCAGGGTTGTCTGAAGTAGAGAATCCTGAGACTTCTCACACTGCAAAATATTTAAATGATAATTTCTCTTCAAGTCTAGAAACTATATTGTGAAATGTCAAAATACCCTAATTTATTAAAAATAACTTTCTGGTATTAGCAAAAAAAATCCATTGAATCACTAGAAATTAAACATTTTAAAGCTTGTTGATTTTAAATGTGCTATTGAAGATATGGAAATCAATACTAGCCTATCACAGATTCAACACAGGTTGAATCTATTATGTTCCAGTAAATGACGAAGCTTTATAGGAAGAAAAACGGAACTAAACTGAGTTTTTCCCAGTACAACTAAAAATGATGCCTGTTTAATAATTTCTTTTTTTATGGTTGGTGTGGTAGATCTGAATAATAGAAGTCTAATGTGTCTATATGAGTCTCTTTGAAGACTATGCATTGATTTATGGCATTTTCAGTAGATTAGGAATTAGAAGAGCATTTTGTCCTAAAAGGAAGGACAGAATGAAAAAGAAACTTGTGTCAAGGACCCGGATAAAGATTGATGAATAGAATGTTTTAAAGCATAGAAGATAATGGTTTTATGTTATAGTTCTCAAATGGGAGCTGGGTAGGTGGTTGCTTTTGAGGACAGAAGGATGTTTATCCACTGGGTCCTAAGCTGTTGCCAACTTGAACAGAAGGTTTTCAGAAATCTTTGAGGCTCTTTAGCCTGGTTTAATGTGAACCGTGAATTTTTCCAAATCAAAATGGCATGGTACATCCTTGTTTAGTACTTAGCATCTGATCAATGCTATTATTTAATAGATAAGGGCTTGAGCAGTGAAAGTAGGTGTCCCGGGGTCTGTCGAACAGGTCAGTTACCACTAAATAAGAAGCATTTGTGAAAAATCGTCAGTTTTCCTCTGATGTCAATCTGAGAAATTATTAATATATTCTGGAAACTCTTACCTTCTTCCTGCTAAAGAATGATAATTCTTCTTTACTAAAGAATTCTAGATTGGTAGGTAACCCATGCCTTTTTGGAAATATTTCTTTCTTTTATGTAGTTGTAGGTAATTATTTATCACACTACTGCTGTATCAGTGAATAAAAATGGAATTGGTAATAAAAACTATATGTCTTAGCAATAGGTATTTCTTTCTAACATCAGAAAGATAGTCACCTTAAATTTATATGTAGAGATGTTAATCTTGATGCTTTTTTAGTCTAAATTATTTCTGTAATAAATTTGGCAATGTAGGGAGGTTTCCAGAGGCACTATACCTAATGTAGCTTGTACACTTTAATCTAGGAGATGCCACAGTTGCTGGAAGTCACTAGACCATTTAGATTGAATAGCTTTTTCCAATAATGGTGGCACTTATTATTGTCATACTCTCCCCACTGCAATCAGTGGTTTTTCTGGTTTCATTTTCTACCTTAGTCCACCTCTCTTCTAGAAAACTCCATAGAGGTTTCTTGAGAATTACATGAAATAATGGATATAATTTGATTAGCACAGTGCCTGGCATATATAAGTATGTTTTCAGTAAATATCAGATATTAGTAGTACTAGTCATCATGATTTGTTATCTATTGAATACCTCAAGTATTTATTTATTAGGTACTGGATTCTGGGATTATAAACACTAAGAGCCATAGACAGTTCTTGCCTTCTGAAGTTTATAGTCTGGTGGAGAGAAAAAAAAGGCAACAAAGCAATACGATGCCACAAGAGAAGTGCCACTATGGGGATGTGGCAAAGGCCCTGGAGCTTAGGAAGGGGGACGTCTGGTCGCCCTGAGGAGCTGGGCTGTGTTGGGGACAGTTCTGGGTGAGGTTTGTGAGGAGA